ATCTAACACAGGCTGATTCACTGATACTTCTACTTAGTCTCCCATAGTATTGCAAAGTGTGGGGAATCCAACCACCCCCCAATCCAAGTGGCTACAACCATTGCCATAGATATGGAGGGAAGAAAGAGAAGAAGAAGGAAGGGATGAAGGCTCTTCAGGAGGTCAGGGATGAATCATTAACTGTGGAAATAACATTTTTCTCACCATTCAGGCACCTGATTCACATCATGATATCCATAGTTTTGATTTTATAAATGACAGCCTTATTGTATCTGTATTAGACAGTCAACATTTTCCAACTGAAAATGTTATGTTGCCTGGATAAATTCTAAATTTCCAAATCAGGCTCAGACCTCTTTCTGAAAGACAGTTACACCACTGAATTTTCCCATCTTTAAAAGTGTTAGTATTTGTCTTGAGGAACAGCAGAGGTGATTTTGTTTCCTTTTCCTAATGTTTGAAATTGTTCTTGACCATTTCTTCTTTGATTATAGTACATAATGTGGTCTATAACTTTAATTGTATCATAAGACAGAGGTGTACAAAACAGTACCCTGGCAATCAACACCTACTTGTTTTGCAAGTTTCTCAAAGCAAATATTGAGAGGCAGGTTAGCACACACACAAAAAAATAATGCCAGTATCTATTGGGCAACTGTCATCTCTGCTTTTACTTGTGCAATTGGACATGTCCTAGGTATCCACTTTACATACAGGAAATCATCCTTGATGTCTGGTTTCTCCCTTTTTCACTATTGGAACATTCCCAGTAACTCAGCTATAAATTATAATGCACTCCTCCTGGTCTTTCAAGGAATCGTACCGAGTGCTATATCATTTGCTGTCTCTGTAAGTTGATATTACTTAATTTAACCTCTTTATATGTAAAGAAACTTATAAATATATAATTTTAAATGAATACATGCTTTCTGGTTGAAATTTTCCTTTTTGCATGGATTCACATATAACCTCTCTTCTTCACTCTTTTCAGCAACTCCTCGAAACAAAAAGGCAACCAACTGTTAATAATATGAACAGCTTAATGTGGGCTTTTTATATGCTTATATGTATATTATGTGGAAGTATTAGTTGTAGTTTAAAACTGGATCCTGATACAGTAGTCTCCCCTTATCCATGGTTTTGCTTTTGGCAATCAACTGTGGTCCAGATATATTAAATAAAACATTCCAGGAATAAACAAGTCATAAGTTTTAAATTGCATACCATTCTGAGTAGCCTGAGGAACTCACGCCTTCCTGCTATATCCTGCCCAGGATGTGAATCGTCCCAGCGTATCTACCTCACTTCATCTCATCATGTAAGCACTGTATCATCTCACATTATCACAAGAAGGGCAAATACAGTACAGTATGACTTTTTAAAAATATATTTTTTATTGATTTCAGGGAGGAAGGGAGAAGGAAAGAGAGACAGAAACATCAATGATGAAAGAGGATCATTTATTATCTGCCGCCTGCATGTCCCCTACTGGGGATCGAGCCTGCAATGTGCCCTTGACTGGACTCCAACTCAGGACCCTTCAGTCTGCAGGCCGATGCTCTATCCACTAAGCCAAACCAGCTAGGGCCAGTATGATATGTTGAGAGGGGAGAGAGAGACCACATTCACATAACTTTATTACAGTATATTGCTATAATTGTTCTATTTTATTATTAGTTATTGTTATTAATCTTTGTGCCTAATTTATGAATTAAACTATCATAGATATGCATGTATAGGAAAAAAACATAGTATATATAAAGTTTGGTACTATCTGCAATTTCAGGCATTCACTGCAGGACTTCGAACGGATCCCCCTTGAATAAGGGGGGATGACTGCACACTTCCCTATGTTCAGCACATGGAAATTCCTCCAAGTGCACTACTGTAGCAAATACCACATGGAGTGAATGCACCATAATCATTCAGTGATTTTTGACTGTTCACTTGGTTACCAGGTTGGCACTAAGCATGTTTATATAAAATAGTAGCCTTATATACATACCATTACACAGGAACTTTTATTCTGTGGAATCAGGATCCATGAGTTAAAGGGGATATGAACTTTTAGTTTCAATAGTTGTTACCAGATTCCTTTTCAAATTCAGTGTCTCACAGCTAGCTGCAATATATGAGATTACTTTCTTATCCACACTCCTGCCCCCAAGAGATAATATGACTTATATTTTTGCCAGTCAGGTGGCTATAAACGGGAATCTCTTTGTTACTCTAATTTGCTTTCTCTTACTATTAGTGAATCTAAATGCTTTATACTATGCTTGTGGCATTGGAATTGTTCTTCTGTGTATGTTTCCTCATAATCATAGTCTAATTTTTACAACTTATTAGTCTATTTTTTGGTCAATTTTTAAGAGCATTTTTAGGTTATAATATCAGCTCCTTTCATCTGGTTTATAAATATTTTCTAAATTTGTCATTTGTCTACTAACTCTAACCACACAAAAGTTTAAGTACTCAAATATGTTTATTTATTCTTTCATAGCATTTAATTTTCTGGTCTATTTATATCAAGGTTTTCTCTCACACAAGATTGTGCATTGTTGTTTCTTGTATTTTTCTCTTCCCTTTTCACACTTTATATTACTTACATATCTGGAATTTATTTAGATATAAGATGTGAGAGGGGAAATCCAATTCTATTTTCTTTGTGGTGGATAGCCATTTTGTTCCAGCAACATGTATAAAATAATTCATCATTTTTCTCTGAATTAAATGCCCTTTTAATCATATCTTAAATTCTCATATAAATAAAAACTAATCCTGAATTTTCTATTCTGTTCCATTGTATTTCTGTGTAACATTATGCCATTGCTATTGTTTAGATTACATTGGCTTTGTAATAAGTTCTGAGGTCTAGTAAAGAAAGTCTCCTTCATAAATTTTCTCTCCGCATTGATATTTTTATATGCAATTTGTATCTAATTCAAAAAATTCTGTTGGAATTTTAAGTAGAATTGCTTGGAAGTGTATATTATTTTATAAGAATTTAAATTATAATGTACTATCCAAAAATTTACATACATTTTCACTTATTCAGATATTATTTTATGCCTTCAATGATATTTTATAGTTTCTTTTCCCTATAGAAGCTGTATAATTTTTGTGAAATTGATTCCTAAGTATTTTGAATTTTTTATCATTAGAAAAAAAAGGTGATATTTTACCTGTTTCCATTTTGAGGAACTTTGTCACAATTTTTGTGAATTTGTCTTGTATCCAGTCAATGACAACAAGTTCTAGTATATGCAAGTGTGTTGTTTTTTTTCATAGAATTGTTTGTGTTTTCTAGTTGTGTCAACATTTCCAAGGTTTCACCAAATTGCTCTTTTTTGGCCCTCTTCCTGCCAATGGAAGTCACAGTCTTTCCTGTACATACACTTTCTAAGTGCTGGGCTTATCCTCAATTTCCTGCTTACATAAGCAGAGAAGTACATAGCTCTATTTTATAACCTGATATTAATATACAAAAAAAATTACTCATATACATTTACCTTCCCTATTAAAATCAGTGAGAAATTAAATGTATTTTATTTTTGTTCATCCTTTTTTAAATAAAACATACACATTTTAACTGTCTTTTCCTAAACTCATCTTAATTTTATTTTTTTCAGTATAATTGTGAACTCATGGCTTTTCACAGCCTCAACTTTTTCCAATTAACAAGGTAGCGTGACTTGCATTTTCCAGTTGTCAGGGCTTGTCTGGCAGGATTCCCTCAGTATATGCCTTTGTTTTTTCAGAGTTGTTCTGGCAGCCACTGGGATCGGCCCTGGTTTCTGGCAACAATATTTAGTTCTGTCTTGAATTTCCTGATGCGAGATAAAAATAGTTGCTCTCTAAGAAGATAGATTTCTTTTTTCTTTTTTATCTCATATTTAACATTTATTTACTAAGGCCTGCCTGTTGGGTACTATGGTGAGCAAAGAAAATGAAACTGGGTGTTTTCAAAATGGTTTTAAAACTGTCAAATCATGTCCTGATATGCTATCCTTTCTAACTCCAGCTGTACAGTGTACTTAATTGATTTTTCTGAAATACCATTTTGTTGTCCTCTGGTGAACTTTCGATGATCCCTCATCATCTACATATTGTCCAGATTGCTTCCATCTCTTCATCTCCCCCTCCCTAGCACTAGGCAGGGATTCCTAAAGGTCTGATTCTTCATTCTGCAGCCTCAGGGAGTTACACCAGGCACTGCTCCCAGCCACCCTTTCAGAGTCTGCTCTGCCTCAGTGGGATGTCTTTTATAATTAAATAGGGTTAGGGACCTACTTCTGGTCACTGGTATTGCCTTTAAAAATTGCTGATGGGTAAATGTGCCCCTAGATACCATTTACCTCCTTTAGGAGAGACAGGGCTAGAAACATTATTTTAAAGGTATGACTTCACATAATTTTTTTCAATTTAATATATTTTGTCTCTTACAGTCTGACATATTGTCAACCACTAGTATTTTCTACTATGTCAATAGTGACTTTATTTTAAGGAAGTTGTTTAAAGGAAATTAAAAGAAAATGGAGGCATCAGCAGGCATATAGGAACTCAGGTTTGAAGAATGTTGAGAATAAGTATTGAGGGGGGATTGCAGAGGGAAGGAATCAAGCTGGCAGCTTGTATTGATGGGTGCAAAATACCAAAAGTCGTTTCAAATTGCCTGGTGTTATTGGTGCCACTTGCCTTTTGAGAAATTGATTTGGTAATGTCAGAAAAGAGTTCAAAATATAGCATACCTTTGATACAAAAACAATCTAATTTCTACAATTCTATCCTAATTAAACTATCCAATTATATTATCCATGCATTATAATTGCTGTACTGAATTGTAGTGATTTTTAAGTCCTTGGTCATTAAACTACTCTCCAGCTTTTTCTATTACTAGTAATGCTACAAGCATTTCTCAACAAGCCCTGGGGTTATTGGTGCCACTCGCCTAGGTGGCTTTGTGCCAGCTCAAAGTTCTCAGAAGCATTTCTAAATCAGCAAGACAGAGAAGGAAGCAGACCTAGGCAGGGGGGCCAAGGTCAGATGCCCAGTGAGAGGCCAGAAAAGGCCTGAACAGAGTTCAGTGGCAAACAAGCTGAGAAGATGGCATTTTAGGAATCTAAACACAGAGAGGCTGGGCACATGCTGAGAAGCTCATTGCGGCAAATTGTGTAATAAAGCCTGCAAGTCCAGGTAATTTTAAAATAAATTGTAATCTGTTTCTTCAAAAGTAATATATTTTCACTTAGAAATCTTAAAAGTTGGCTTATAGATAAGAGAACAAAATCACAATGAAGCAAGTATTGTAGCAATTGTCAACATTTTGGAGTTTCACACTCCTTGTATGCATTGTTTACATAGTTAAATCTGCTTCATTCACATCTCTGTACTCCATACTTTTATGTAATTAACAATTTAATAATTTCCCATTTAATTATAAAATCTGCATAAACATCATTTGTATGAATTATGTTTACTCTTTGTACATTATTCTATCATTATGCTATAATATATTATCCATGCATTATAATTGCTGTACTGAATTGTAGTGATTTTTAAGTCCTTGGTCATTAAACTACACTCCAGCTTTCTCTATTACTAGTAATGCTACAATAAACATCTATTTTAAAAAGTTAGATAGTTTAATTAGGATAGAATTGTAGAAATTAGATTGTTTTTGTATCAAAGGTATGCTATATTTTGAACTCTTTTCTGACATTACCAAATCAATTTCTCAAAAGGCTGTGCCTCAGTGTTTACACTCTGATCAACAGAACAAGAAAATTCCTGTCTCATTGAATCTGTAACAGTCTTGGAATATCTCATTTAAGAATGTCTAAACAGATTGCTGAAATTAATACTTCATTTTTTGCACAGAAACATGATCTTTACTGAGGTATAATTGACATAAAACATTAGTTCAGGTATACAGCATAGTGATTAAATATTTGTACATATTGTGAAACAATCCTCACAATAAGTGTAGTTAACATACATTTAATGCATATTTCATATATGCAAGTGAGGTTGAATATATTTAATAGTAATTTAGAGTGCTTTTTCAGGGAGTGGGGGTGTATCTTAATGCACCAGATCAGGCATGAGAAGGAAGGGATTTGAAAGATTAAAACAGAGCTAGTTAGAATCCAGAAATTAATCTAACAACATTTATCAGCCCCTTTTAATGAAATCTCCTCTAATTATTAGGGATAATGCATGGTGGAAAGGAATTTGACAACCCCAATGCATTTATATTATTCTAACATGGTCTTAGAATGATTAATCTTTAATTATTTTCTCCATAAGCTATTTAATGAAGTTCTAACCCTGGGCCCACCTACATTTCTAAGTTTAAATTAATAAATTAAAAGGGCAATTGAAATCCAGGCATAATTTGCCTCACAATGTGATGCAATAGGAAGTAAAACACCCATTTAAAGAGTATTTTTGAAAACTAGATTAAAACAATCTAATCAAGCCTTTAAAGCCAATATTCATTTATAGGAAATTCAAGGGATGGAGGGAGAACTTCAGGAAAACCACAAATGAACCAATAAGACAAATCCAGAATGTGGAATTGAGGAAGGATAGTAAGAAGCTGGGAAAATTCCAGGGCAAGTGGAATGGGGTAACTGAAACAAAATAATTAAACAAGGCCAAACAATTTGAGCAATACAGCCAGCTAACAAATCACAAGGTCTTATCTTCCCTCACCAAGCACACTCAGGAGCAAATGGTTTACACATTCCAAACCTTGCCAGGGCAGACCCACATAGGTTCTGGTCCCTCTTCAATGACATTTATCTTTAGAGATGAAACTGACCAGAGAATGAGCCTGATCCCTCTGAAAAACTAATTTTGGTGAATCAATATATTGAAAGAAAACTAATGAATATTCTGTTAAGACAACCCCCCATACCCCAGGTCCTCTCCTAGGATTCCTGCCTATAAAAGAGAGATAAAAGCCTCCAGACAAAGAACCCAGTGTGGGCTTTCTCTGGAGCAGGCCCACATTTTTCTTGGGCATGAACTTTTTACTCTGGAGTTTGCTTTAAAGTGCACCAGAAAAAAAAAGTGGGAAGGAGATGGAATAATATTGGTAAAATGCTGATAAATGTTGAAGCAGGGTGATGGGTATATGGATAGAGATTCACTATGTTATTCTCCATTTTTCATGTTTTAAAATATTTTATAATAAAATATGAAACTAAGCATAAAATAGCAATAGAAAATCACTTCTGGAATGGCAGAATGAAGACCTCCAAAATGTGATCCCCACAGGAGCAATGAGTGCAATGGATAAAATAGTCAAAATCTATTTTTAAAACTCCTTCTAGCCGGTTTGACTCAGTGGATAGTGCGTCAGCTTGCAGACTGAAGGGTCCCAGGTTCGATTCTGGTCAAGGGCACATACCTCGGTTACAAGCTCCCTGCCCTGGTGGGGGCATGCAGGAAGCAATCAATCCATGTGTATCTCTCACATCAGTGTTTCTCTCTGCCTCTCCCTTACACTCTCTCTAAAAATCAATGGAAAAAATATCCTCGGGTGAGGATTAAAAACAAAACAAAAGCTATAAATTAACCAAAGTAAAAATCCAAGGAGTACTCATTCAAGAAAAATCACTGAACATTATTAAGAAGAGTGAGTTTTGTGGCATTTTAACTTGCCCTATGCCCATCATTCTATCTCCAGCTCATCAAATTCTCCAGGACTTCCCAAAGAACTAGCAGTTCCTCACCAGGAGCTCTGATGAATCCGCCACAGTCTAGATACCCAGGGTAGACAGAGATGGTGGCATGGGCTAGCAGATACCATAGATTCTTCCCTCTGCTGAGCACAGAGCAAGATGATACAAAGCCACAGCTCTCAGCTCCCCCTGGGAAAGAACAGAATTGATCTATGCATCCTGCTCCATCTTCTCTGTGGCTGACCAGAGAACTAGCATCTTCCTCACCAGTCCTGAAATTCTGATGGATTTAGCATAGTTGAAATAACAATATTGTATGTAAGCTCCAAGGTTATCACACACACGCACACACACAATACCTATAGAAGTTATACAAAAGGAAAAGAATTCAAAGGATATCCACTACAAAGAATCAACAAAACATGAGGAACACATCAAGAGAGGAAAAGACAGATGCCTGAAACTAATACAAAATAACAATAAATGTAATCTGTAATTGAAATATATTTTTTTAAAAAGGAAAGAGAGATGAAAGAACAAGATTAACAGAAGACAACTATCAAAGTGATATAGTAGAATCTTCCCTATCAGCCATTACTTTAAATGTAAATGGTTACACTCTCCAATCAAACGACAAAGTGACTAATTGAATTAAAACAAACAAACAAACAAACAACAAACAATACCAAGACTTAACTATATGCTGTCTATAAGAGAATCATGTTAGATTCCAGAATCATGTTAGAATACAGAGCACACATAGGCTGAAAGTTAAGGGAGAGAAAAAGTGTGCAAATAGTAACCAAAAGAGAACAAGAGTGGTTATACATATCAGTCAAAATAGACTTTAAATAAAAAACTATCCCAAGAGACAAAGAGGAGCATTATAAAACAACAAAAGGACCAATCCATCAGGAAGGCATAATAATTATATATATACACTAGAGGCCTGGTGCACAAAAATTTGTGCACTCTGGGGGGTCCCTCAGCCCAGCCTGTGCCCTCTTGCAGTCTGGGACCCCTCGGGGGATGTCCACTTGCCAGCGGGGAGCAGGCCTAAGCTTCAGTCTGACATCCTTAGCACTGCTGAGGAGGCAGGAGAGGCTCCCACCACCACCGCTGTGCTGGCAGCCATCAGCCTAGCTTGTAGCTGAGCAAAGCTCCCCCTGTGGGAGCGCACTGACCACTAGGGGGCAGCTCCTGCATTGAGCATCTGCCCCCTGGTGGTCAATGTGTGTCATAGTGACCAGTCGTTCTGCTGTTAGGATCAATTTGCATATTACCCTTTTATTATATAGGATAAAGGGCTGGTGCATGGGTGGGGGCCAGTTGGTTTGCCCTGAAGGGTGTCCCAGGTCAGGGTGGGGGTCCCGCTGGGGTGCCTGGCCAGCCTGGGTGAGGGGCTGATGGCTGTTTACAGGCTGGCCAAACCCCCAGCAGGGACCCTCACCCCATGGGGGTGTGGCCAGCCTGAGTGAGGGCCTGATGTCTATTTGCAGGCTGGCCAAGCCCCCCAGCAGGGACCCTCACCCCATAGGGGTGTGACCAGCCTGGGTGAGGGGCTGAGGGTCGTTTTCAGGCTGTCCACGCTCCCCAGTGACCCAAGCTCCCAGCCTCTCCTTTTTTCTTTTCTTTTTTTCTGGGATTTATTTATCTTCTATAATTGAAACTTTGTAGCCTTGAGCGGAGCCCAGGTCCTTGAGTGGAGGCCACAACTGGCTGGAAGCAGGTATCTGGAATTTATTTATCTTCTATAATTGAAACTTTGTAGCCTTGAGTATAGCCCAGGGCAGGTGGGAAGCTTAGATTCCTCCATTGCCAGGGGCAACCCAAGCCTCCTGCTCGCTCCAGCTCCGTGGCCAGTGCCAGCTTAGTTGGGTAAATTTGCATGCTCACTCCTGGATTGGCTGGTGGGCGTGGCTTGTGGGCGTGACTTGAGCGTAGCAGAAGGACGGTTAATTTGCATGTTTCTCTTTTATTATATAAGACTAGACTAGAGGCCTGGTGCATGTAATTCATGCACTGGGGGTGGGGGGTCCCTCAGCCCAGCCTGCCCCCTCTTACAGTCCAGGAGCCCACAGTGGATGTCCTCAGGGGAGTGGGCCTAAGCTGCAGTCTGGCCTCCCTCTGCAGGAGGTGACCAGGCTGATCAGGGAAGGGCGCCACCCCCATCACCAGCTGCTGCTGCCACTGCCTGCCACTGCAGCCACCAAGGTGTTTTCATCAACATGGACTCCAGTCTCTTCACCATGAAAAAAATGACAATTTTTTTTTTTAGGCATTTTCAAGATGTCTCTTTCATAAGATATGACATTTCTTTCTTTTTTTTTAATCCTCACCTGAGGATATTTTTCCATTAATTTTTAAAGAGCGTGGAAGAGAGAGGAAAAGACAGAGAGAAACATCAATGTGATAGGGACACTTCAATTGGTTGCCTCCTGCATGAGCCTGACCTGGGCCCCGGCCAGTGAGGAGACTGCAACCTAGGTACATGCCCTTGATCAGAATTGAACTCTGACCCTGTGATTGGCAGGCCGAGGCTCTATCCACTGAGCCAAACTGGCTAGGGCAGGATATGACATTTCTTAGTCCCTGACCTTTGTTTTTTCCTCCAGGATTGAGGTGAAAAACCCTAGATCACCTTCTTGGATTCTTATTACCCAAATTACCAAGAACACTGCAAGTGGCGTAGAGGGAGCTTAGCCAATGAGCGGTCAGAAAAGGTGTTTCCTCTGTAGCTCATGAACAGAGGCCCCCCTGTGTGTGTGTCTGCTGGGGGCCTGTTCCCAGAGCAGTGCCGCGGCCACTCAGAGCAGGCCCCCACCCCTGTGTGTGTCCCCTGGGGTGGAGGCGTGCTCTGAGCCACGCTGGTCATGACTGTTAAGGCTTAGAGCCGGTTATGACATTACGGTGTCCTGGACAAATTTGCATATTACCTCTTTATATATATAGATAATGACCCAACACCAAAATACCTAAATATACAAAGCAAATGTAGGCAGAACTGAGAGAAGACATAGGTACTATCTGTATCTGGAACAAGGACGCCCACTCTTGCCAATTCTATTCAATATAGTAATGGAAGTCTTAAAGCAAGAAAAAGAAATAAAAGTAATCTAAATCAGCAATCATTTGTGTTTTTATACACTAACAGCAAACTGTATGAAAAAGAAATTAGGAAAACAATCGCATTTATAATAGCACCAAAAAGAATAAATTGTTTAGGAATAAATTTAACTAAGGAGGTGAAAATCCTGTATACTAAAAACTACAAAACAATGAAAGAAATTGAAGACACAAATAGATGGAAAGCTTCATGTACTTGAAGAACTGGAAATGTATGTCCACAGAAAAACTTGTACATGAATGTGTATAGAAGTATTATTCATAACAGGCAAAAAGTAGAAAAAGCCAAATGTTCATCAACTGATGAATGAATAAACAAAATGTGGTATATCCATACAAAGGGATGATATCTATATATATAAAGCCAAGCGACCAGAATGACGGCACAACTAGAACGACTGGAATGACCAGTCACTATGATGCGCGCTGGGGAGGCCAACTGGCCCAATCAGGGCCCCAATTGGACCCCTCAACTGCCTGTGGCTCCTCCCCCTGCCTGGCTCCCTCCACAATCAGCCCCCACAATTCTGATCAGGAGCAGGGCCGGCTGGCCAACCCCAGATCAGGGCCCCTCCCCCTGGCCAGCTCCGCTCCTGATAGGCCCCCACCCACCCCAATCAAGGGTGGGGTCAGCTGGCCAACCTCCCTCAGCCCCTTCCCCTGGCTGGCCCCACCCCTGATTGGCCCCACCCACCCTGATTGGGGTGGGGCTGGCCAGCCAACCTCTTGTGTCCCTTCCCACCACTGGCTGGTTTGATTGACCCCCATTGGGGAGAGCCGAATTCATGCACTGAGCCTCTAGTTTAGCCGTAAAAAGGAATAAAATACTCTTAAGTGAAGTATAATATGGCTGGGCCTTAACATGCTAAGTGAAAAAAGGTAATCACAACATGCTACAAAGTGTATGAATACATTTACATATAATTTCCAAAATAGACAAATCTATAAAGACAGGAAGTAGTTGCCAGGGGTTGGAGGGAGAGAGAAATGGGACTTGTTTCTAATGAGTGTGAGGTATCTTTGGGGATGATAAAATTGCTCCAAAGTTGTATAGTGGTAGCAATTCTATGAATACACTAAAAGTTATTAATTATTAAAAGTTGCTGAATTGTGTAATTAAAAAGGGGTGATTTTATGATATGTGACTTTTATATCATTAAAGCTGTTAAAAATAGCAATTGTACTTTTTTTTTCTCTCCAAATGACTTTTAATAAAGAAAATCTGTTTGTTTAACCAAGAGAGTGAAAGGAGATGCGTGCAATGAGACACTTTTCTGTGAAGCTGAATGATGGGCACTCCATGCCTATTCTGGGATTTGGCACCTCAGCTCCTAATAAGGTAATCATAGTGGCCTTGGAGATGGAGGGGCAGCAGATCAGAACTAGTCACTGCTCAAATTTGGGGAATTCAGATTCGCATCCCATTCTTCATTGGTAGGACAATTTCTCTCCAGGTTAGGTTATTTTGTGCAGTAAGTCAGTGCTTTTCAAATTTTAATAAGCATAAAATATTTAAGGATCTTGTTAGAAATGCAGATTTAGATGCTCTACCTACAAAGTTTCTGATTGAATAGATCCTTGAGAAGGCTCAAAGTTCATATTTCTAATGAGCTACCAAGAGATTCTGCTGCTGTTTGTCCAAAGATCTCAGAGTGGCACTGTATCAAGGGAGATGAAGGGTGTCACCTTTCAGTAGTTCAGGGGTGGGTAAGTCTGTTTCTGTTATTCTTACCTACTGTCCAGTTGTAGCCATTTCACAGTATATTGGAATAAATGGAGCCCAGTTATCATGTTACCATAGGTCAGAGACTTCACAGTAAGCTTGCTTGTGATGAAGTTTCTCTATAATTTCTAATATCCAAGTTGCCCCTGTCCTTCACTACACAGAATATTGAGAGAAATCTCAGTGACAAAAATACATGGAGGAAGAGAGACAAAATTCATGTTAGAGTTTTGGTGGTCTGGGTGGAAATAGTCTCTTAAGGCCAGTTTGTTAGTACTGTGTCAAGGGGAGGGCCAAGTGGCACTTGGAAATTCTCTCTCTTTTCAGAAGACTATTTTTATTTATTTTAAAATTGAATTTATTGGGGTGACATCTATATATATAAAAACCAAGTGACCGGAACGCAGGAGTGACTGGAACAACCAGTAGCTATTATACACACTGTGGCCAGCCAACCTGCCCAATCAGGAGGCAGCCCCTTCCCCCGGCCTCCCTTGATCAAGGGTGGGGCCAGCTGGCCAACCTCCTGCTTCCCCTGCCCCTGGCTTGCCTGGCCTGATTGGCCCCAATTGGGGCGGGCAGGCTGGACCCCACCCATGCACAAATTCGTGCACCAGGCCTCTAGTTGGTTAATAAAATTATACAGGTTTCAGATATACAATTCTACACTACATCATCTGCATATTGTATTGTGTGTTCACCACTCCAAGTCAAGTCTCAGTCCATCACAATTTATCCCCTCCTTACCCATATCTACCCCCCTTCCCTCTGGAAATCACCATATTGTCTGTGTCCATGAGTCTTTTTTTTTCTTTGCTTAATCCCTTTATTCTTCCCACTCAGCCCCCAACCCCTCCCCTCTGACAGCTGTCAGTCTCTACTCTGTATCCATGAGTCTGTCTCCATTTCTTAGTTTATTTTATTCATTAGATTCTACATATAAGTGAAATCATATGGTACTTATCTTTCTCTGACTGGCTTATTTCACTTAGCATAATACTTTCCAGGTCTATCAAACACCTTGCATGTTTCTGTTTCAAGCACTACAACCTTACAAGAACTCATCTTCAGTGTTTTCTGGTGAGGTTTATGGTGGTTTGGGGAAAGTTGTAGGATAATTTCTCGAGTGTGAGAGCCATGTGGTGTGAATGTTCAGGACTGCAGCAAGACATTGGCATGTGTTGCTTTTCCTTTGATTTGGCTCTTCAATCTAAGCATAGCCAGTTAATCTCCATGGAAATAGTTAACTCATCAGGAGTTGAAAATTTTAAACTGTACCCCAGACCTTTTCATTACAAAGTGAGGTAGAAGGGGGTAATGGAGAGGGGATAATTACAGATAATTTAAAAGGTTCAGCCCGGTGGGCCAGGTGAAAAGTAGGCAGCTATGAAAAATAACAAAGCTGTGAATCAAAAATGATCACCAAAAAATAATTATGAGGTATTTTTGAGTGAAAAGGGAGTTTATTTTCTTTTACATTTTTGTCCTACCTCAGATGTTGTTTGACATGTTTCTCCAAGTTTACATAGATAAATCACTAATGTAGTCCATCTAAAGTTACATCTTCATTGCATTGATAGATAATTTTTAGCATTGGATTTCTGGGCTGGAACCAACTTAATAATTTCTTATAAAGTGAATTAATTTAGGAATGTAAATATAAAGATTGTGTAAATCTATAGATCACATAGAGAGTATAAATGCAGAAGCAGGGGGTTAAACACAGCAATGTGCTAGGGCCAGCTCATGGCTCACAAGATTCACTTGTGAGCATCTTTCCCCCATACTGGTAGCTTGAAATTAGCCATGGGGGGAGTATTTGCACCATAGAAATTATCAAATACTAGAAATCAAGACTTTTCTTTAGTCAGTTGTTAAACATTTATCACATGTTATAAGTCAACAATTAGCTTTGTCACCTCTAGCTTCTAGACCTTAGAAAAGCAAAAGGTTCTGTCAACTAGCTCTGCTCATGGAATTGATCATGTGTTTTTCAAAAAGTGAGTCTTTATTTTTTATGCTCTTCTAGGTTGCTAAGAGTAAGGTGGAAGAGGCCCTTGAGAGAGCAATTGATGTAGGCTATCGCCATATTGATTCAGCTTACCTGTACCTAAATGAAGAAGAAATTGGGAGGGCCATCCGGAAGAAAATTGCCAATGGCACTGTGAAGAGAGATGACATATTCTGCACTTCAAAGGTGCTCTATAGTGTTGCATATGAATCTTAGGGAAGTTCATTCTTAGCTGAATAATTTCTTGGCAATCCTCTCATTGGTTTCATTTTGACTCACTCTCAGAATATGGAAGACTGATTAGGAACATGTTGGGTGGGAATGTGAGTTCTCTTCAGACTTCCTATATTTGAATCTTACTCAATGTGTGACCTTGAACTTAAACTTACTTAAACTCCATGCTTCAGCTTCCCAAGTTGTAAGATGAAGATGATATTATTTATGTCACAGAATTTTTATAGGTGTTATATAAGTACATATAAAGCTTTTAGAAAAACATTATATATATATACACACATATATACACATATATACTTATACATATACACATATATATGTGTATATATATATATATACACATATATATGTGTATATGTATATATAAATATATATATATACTAGTGCCCTAGTGCACAGATTCATGCACATTGAAAAAAATTAATTAGAAGATGGCTGGAGGGGCAGGACTGAGCAAGAAGGGCTGGACACGCCCTGGAGCCAACCTCCCACGGTCCCTCCCCAGTGGCCAGCCACACCTGGGGCGGCGCTGCAGCTCAAAGGGCATCTGTGGAGTGAGCGGGGTCCCTCTGGCAGGTGGGGGCCCTCATCCTGGCCTACGGGGATCAGGCCAAAACCAGCTCTCTGACATCCCCCGAGGGGTCCCGGATTGTGAGAGGGCAGTTCTTGGATGATGCACCTTGGAATTGGGCTCCCTCTTCTCTGGTTCTGGGGTGCAGCACCCGAGAACCACACTGTCAAGTCACCACAGCTCGGCAGCTCCTGCATTGAGCATCTGCCCCTGGTGGTCAGTGCACATCAAAGCTACCAGTCAGAAGATCAGACAGTTGCTTAGAATCTACATATATAAAAGCCTAAGTGACCATTATGACTGGATGACCAGCCGGTAGCTATGATGTGCACTGACCACCAGGGGGCAGACGCTCAACACAGGAGCTGCCCCCTGGTGGTCAGTGTGTTCCCACAGCCAACCTCCTGCAGCCGGCCAGCAAACCACCCATGGTCCCTTCCTCCAGCCGGCCTGGATTGGCCCTGATTGCTGGCCAGGTCAAGGAACTCCACCCATGCAAGAATTCATGCACCGGGCCTCTAGTTGTGTATATATGCCATATACATATATATACAACTAGAGGCCCGGTGAATGAA